ACATGACCTATAAACAATTAACAAAAGGCTAGACGTATTGTTGACAACAACTAACATAATGTGATAATACACAACTGAACATATGCCTCTTTTATAACCCCTTATTTAGACCTTTCGAATGCCAACACAATTAAATACGAATTGAATACGAAGAAATGTTTGCAATGTCAATACAGTGCACCTATATAATTATTAATAAGCAAGTATCCTTTTACTACCAATGCAATGCACCTATATAATCCAATCTTTATGTCTATTTATTTAGACTTTGGAATACCAATGCAGTAATTAATATTGTCTACATCATCACCAATGAAATTCAACCATATGGCAATCACAAATCCAAGGTGTCATTATGGTTAAACATTTAGAATGTCAATGCAATGCACCCATATAATTATAGTTAACCTCTCTATAGTCATAATTGTGAGATCAACTAATTTTATTACTATGAGGAGGTTATAACTTAATAGAGATGTAATTACAAAAATTATTGTTTTGATTTCTTATTTTATAATTCATATTTTAGTAATACAGTATTAGAATTTCAATTCATATTTTAGTAGTAGTAGGATTTTGATTCAGCACTTCAATCGCCTACTTTTAAAACGGATAGAAGATCGTGTCTTGAAACTAGCAAAAAACGTGTCTTGGAACTAGCAAAGATAAGTGTCATTGATGGAACTATAAATACAGTTGATGCATGATTAATTGATGTGAAGCCACAGACAATTGCCAATGATTTTAACTTTCAAGCACCGCAAAATTAGGACCCTCGATGTCAATGAATTGCAAGTTACAAATGAAGTGGATGAGGAGAATAAAAGAGTCATTGCAAAATTGAGTGTTCAAATTCGACAATTTCACCACACTAATTGAATAGATATTATTTTCTTCCTCGATCATCCAAATGAACAACAAATCGTGCATGCTTTAACTGAAGAAGAAATCATTGCTGCAATTAGACAAGAAGCTTTAAACATGCTTGAGAAGCTAAAAATATTTTGGCTTCAACAAGAGGGTGTCTATGCTAGCAAGTTATTATATACTCGCAAGTTAAAATATGTGGTAATAACTCTGAAGCATAAATCATTGTCCCAAACAACTTTAGATAAATATTTTATTTCATCTTAAACATTTAAGGCCCATTTGGATCGGGTTGAATTTTTTTAACAAGGGTAATATTTGTTTAATTGAGTAGATTACCGTGTTTGGCATTTTTGTACAAAAACATTACCGGAAAATAAGATGACAAATAGTGCTAAAAAGAGGGTAAATCACCGAGAATAATATTACCTGGGGGGAGGGTGGTATTAAAATTTTACTTCAGTAATCCAAATTTATGTCTAATTATGCCCCAAAACAGTGGACAATGTGGACGAAAATATCATTGGCTTTGTTAATAATTACAAAAAGCCTAATTTGTAAAATGACAAAAACACCCCCACTACCACAGTGCCAGATTCCGACCACCACTGCCAGAATCTAGTCGGAATCTGCCGTTACGACTTAGACTGGTCGAATCTGGCCGGTGGTGTGTCGATCTGGCCTTTTCCGGCCAGATCCACAGCCAGATCTGGTCGTCGACGACCGCAAAAGTCCAGATCTGGCCGTTAGAGACAGCCAAAGAGTTGGCCGTCGTTGACCGTCAACAATGGTCATTTCTTTGGCCATCAAATCTGGCCTTTTTCGGCCAGATCAGTGAATAAACAGCCATTTCCAGTCGTTTTTAGGCCGTTGTGACAGATTTCAGCCACCACTGATGGTGGTTGCCGGAATTTGGCAACTATGGGTGGGTGGGGTGGTTTTTTTTAATTTTTAAACTTTTTTTTCTAAGGGTGTTTAATTATGTTAATAAACTTAAGGGGTCTAAAAATAATTAAAAAACTAGAATAGTATTTCCCAAATAATTAAACAAACAAGTATTTTGGGAATAGGATAGAGAATAGGGTTTGAAATAATAAAACAAACAAGCCTTAATTATTTATATCTAGTAATCATCTAAAGGGCATTCTAGTAAAAGGGTATTTCAAGACATCTCTTATTACTATCAACCAAACACATTAATTATTAATACATCCCAATTGAACCAAGTACAATAATAATTTAAACCCGGTAATCTACAATGTAATCTTTCTTTCCGGTAATCTTATTACTAAGATAAAAAAAACATTATATGATCCAAACGCCCCCTTAATGTAACATAAAACATATTTTTTGTAATATACATATAATTATTACTATGTAGAGGCAACTTTCATTAAAGTGGGAATTAGAAAAATTATAACTTATTATAATGTAGAATTTATTCTTATTTATAACTATCCCAAATTAAGACCATAATTTTTTATGATTATATAAAGTTTATTCTTATATAGAATATCACTATAAAGAGGTTTTATTGTAGTATTATTATTAATTATTAATACAACTAATGCAATACATCTATGTAATTCAGTTTTTATGTCTATTTATTTAGACTTTGGAATGTCAATGCAATAATTAATATTGTTTACATCATCACCAATAAAATTCAACCACATGGCAATCACATATCCAAGTGTTATTATGGTTAGACGTTTAGAATGCTAATGCAATGCACCTGTATTATTATTATTATTAATTATTAATACATATCTTATTTTTTCAATTAATTAATAATTATAGACGGAGCAATATATACCAACCCAAAGTGTCAAGATAGAGCAATTTGATTGACTTATTAATCCAATGTGTCAAAATGGAGCAATTCTAAAGCTTCCAAAATATGTCATGTGTCGATCAACCCATATGGATATTCAGCTTTATATATATATATTTTATACCCGTTGTTATCGTTGAAGAGTTTCTTTGAATTTTTTTTTTTTAGAAATTAATATCAAATAAATTACTTTCAAACTATTATTATTCAACCAAAGTGATACATAATTTTTGGAATTCTAGTTATTGATTATTATAGATTAAAGAGGAGAATGAAAACGAAAAAGATTAAAAAAAAGGGCTGTTTAAGAATAAAAAAAAAATTTAATTTTAAATGAATTTTATTTAACAATGTCGCTTAAAAAGATATTATTGGAGCTTGAATAACACCAATCCTATACGTATTGTCCAAACTTAACTAAAAGATGAGATTGATAGAATATGAAATAATTTCCCAAAATTTTCTTGAAATAATTTATTAAGTTTTTCTTTTAAATTATTTTAATAAGATAATTATGAATACTAAATAATAGTTAGAGATTTAACCTTATTGGGATTCAAGTTAGTTATAACTTATTTTCTCATTTTAGGGTTTTCTCTTTTTGAGTAATTCAACACAAATATTATTATTATGATTTTTTTTTTTTTTTTTTTTTTGGTGAATCTTAAGGTTAGTTAAGACTTTTCCTACATAATTACCTAACACAAGGACATTTTAGTCAACATCAATATGTTGCTGCCCATTTTTTAACAAATATTAATTAAATATTGTTGACATGAGAAAATCAAGCCTGACTCATTAACATTTTTTTCTCAAAACATTTTTTTTTTTTTTTTTTCCTCAAACCAGAGGTATTTTAGTCATTTCATCAGTATCGTTAATCTTCCTTTTTTTTTTCCATCCAAATGTATTTTGGTCATTTTACCAGGAAAAATTTGTCGTTGCACTTAAACGGCAAAATATGATGAAAGGAGAGGTTTTTGGATAATATGCCAAATGTTTGGACCTATTTGGAATTTCTCGAAGTTGAGTGGAGGTAATTATTTTCATCCTATTTATGCTCAAACCACTTGCGTCAAACACTTCATAAAAGAAATTATAAATATATATTATATAAAACACTTCATAAAATTTCTACAAATATAGGGGTGATCGGGTCTGAGTACCTTGGAATTTTTGGAGGAATTGGAACCGATCAGCTCCTAAAATTGGGAACTGGAACCAAAACCGACCGATTCTGGTTCTATGTACCCCAGATAAGTTAATTGGTCCCTATTATTTTACAAAATGACAAAAACACCTTTAAATTTTACAAATACACCCACATTTGTTTACATATTCTTTAACTTTTCTCTTATTAATTAATTTAAATATTTCAAATAATTTTAATTAGTTACTGTAAAATTACTTAAAACCCCCCAATGTTGTATACTACTTTTTAAACCCTGGTTCTTTTCCTAGTTCCTAGCAAGGTACCCTATTCTCGATTCCTAGTAGAGTATCCTATTTTAGGTTCCAGTTCCGATTCTTAGTTCCAAGAATGAAGGAACCAGAACCAGGGAGTCCCAGTTCCTATTTTTTATAACCGGAACCTACCCTGTGAGGGCTAGTTCCGATTTCTACCTGAAAACGTGATCCTTGGTACCAGCCGGTTCCGGGTAGAACGTATTTGTTTGCTCACCCCTACTTGTGATCAAGACTTTTTGTGTGTTATGATGGAGGTTGCAATAAGAGTGTTTAATTTAATTATTTTTTTATCTTCTTTTCATTTTCTCATCCAAATGTCATTTCATAGTTTTGCTATTGCTAAGAACTATATGAAGTATCTTTTTGTTCTTCAAGTGACTATAGGCTTCTGCAAATTTTTTTACTCTGTTGGGTATCCACAGAAATTCTCAGTATATTACCAAAGGATTCATATATTCATCCATCATTCATAGCCATCGACACTTGCATTCATCACTTGAAGGGACAAACAGAGCAAGAGCAAACTTATGCTATTGAAGTCATTTCCTTGGAGATCATTGAAAATATATAGTTGCAACCCGGGGTACTTTGATTGCTATTAAAGAGAAAACAGAGTGAATTAATCTTTAAATTTTATTGTCATTATATTTTAGAAGCTTAGGGGTAAAAATAATTGATTAGGATACAATATTATCCCGGTCCATCATTTTTACTACTGAATATCTTCATTGATATATTATTCATCTCCTCTACCATATTATGCAATGTCCATTTGTTTTAAAATGTACTGACCACAAATTTCACAAGATGGATTTGAATCCAACCACTTACATAAATAATAATATTGAACATCCATTTATTTATATATATTTAGTGTTGCACAATACACCGTGGTAAAGCAATATTAAGCTTAATTGATGAACAAAAACTCACACCTTAATTGACAGCAAAGCAGAGATATGTATTAATCTTAAGTAGAGAAAGCATGATCATGGCAGCAGCAGGTTTCAACTTTCATGGAGTTGTGATACCTATAAAAAAAAGGTAGGAGAAGAATTAATTAATGTCAATAAAGTAGAATTTAACATTGGTAAAGATTAATATTATTAATATATGGTTAATTGTTTGGTGATGAAAATAGAGAGATTTGGGTAGGCAAGAGGCAGCTAGCTTACTGCCACACTTGAAGTGACGAGGGACTCTCCTTCCGCAACCTTCAATGAGGCGGATAGCCCGGTTGACGTCAATAAGAGCAACTAACTTAGGGGTAATGACGGGGCAGACGCACTCCATATGGCTAACTCTGACACGCTCACAGCACGCTGGTGTGGGAAGCTTCCCGTACAGCACCGCTTTGCATTCGTTAAGCCCAATTCTCCTTTCTTCTTTGCACTGGGCAGCACTGAGTTCTGCACTCGCCATCTTCACCTCGCACATACCCACTACTACTAAAACCATCAAGCTTAAGCCTAATGATCTAATTGCCCTTGTGTTCCCTTTCCCCATCTTTTTTTCCTCTCTCACACACAATTAATATGATTACCCACAAACCTCCTATATATATAGTGGGGAGAGCCTTGGAGGGCACGTCCCCTTTCTTCATACGGTTGAATACTTGACTTTCTATAGTGGTCATCTCCACAAAACTCTTGAAATTCTAGATTATATACTGTTCTGGTAGGCCTTGGGAACAATTGTCATGTTTAAACATATTGGTTATTAATTATTTCACATTTTACTTGCAATTTAATGATATTATAAAGCTTTTTTTTCTGCCAACGGATCCATTGCAGTAGGGATATATACCTGTTTCTTCAGAGTTCATATTATTCTACAGAATTTAGAATATACATGCATACATGTTAATAGGGGACGTATATAATTGAAGCCGACATGGAAAACTAGTGATATAGGCTTGGAATAATGGTGTAATACAGTGGTCAATTGATTGATAATGATGAAATTTATATGAAGAATAATGGTCTTTTTTCTTATCAATCAGCTACATAAAATCGGAGAAACTTGTGGGAGATTCAACTAAAATCCAATTACGGAAGATTGATTAAAAATTGTGGTGGAAGCCACTCCAGGAAGGTTCCCATAATTTCTTAATGGTAAAAATTCCATCCATATAATGATTAAATAGGTAATAGATCAATGTATATAAATAAATGTTTAGGGATGTTGGGTGGGCATAGAATAGATTTAGGTGGAAATACATTTATAGAATTGGTCCCTTTGTTTCTTTTTGTCTAGATAAGTGTAATTCATCCGTCTTATTATTAATTTGGTTTGGTCCGGTTTGACTCTGACCAAACACTATCTCCCAAATACCAAAGAAAATACCACTAGCTATGGCAGTATCAACCCTCCTTTTTTGACCATGGAAATGCTTGCCAATTAGTAGATTTAAAATGAATCATTCATGTAAAACATGGATTTATCAATCGAAATTAATCAATAAGAATACGCAAATTCGGTGATCAAAATTGCTAATTGACAACTAGTTATTCTTAAAATCTTAAATAGATGGATAGACACATATCTCAAACATTCTTAATTTTTTTTTTTTTTTTTTTAATGATCAAGGATGTTCTAGTCAGTTTGCGTGCACCTCAACTAGTCCCTCGAGACTCAAGAAATACCAGCCGGATAAGAGTTCTCATGACCATCCTTATTAACAATTATGGAAACTCGAACTCGAGAGACTATGTTAGATCCTTTTTCTACTCTTTTATCATTAGGCTACCCAGTAGTGGTTAAAACATTCTTAAATATTTTTTTCATATGCATATATAGACAACAATAACAAGTAACGACTAAAGGCATATGGGCTCACTCCAAATTAACTAATAAGGCTCATATATGCCGGTTCATGGAAAGTTGGACCTGCAACAACAACAACAACAACAACAACAACAACAACAACAACAACAACAACAAAAAAAAAAAAAAAATCAGTCACTCTATAATATGTCTGTTGATGCGTGATTTTGACACTAACGACTCGTATGTATAAAGTTCTAAAGCATTCTTAGAAATTATATGTAAATGATTATAATTAGATACAAAGACTGAATAATAAATGAGAGAGATGATTTTTAAAGTGATTAAGATGTTTAAAGCGAATCCTACGTCCACTGTTTCTTTTATATATGAGAGATTACAAGAGGTCACGTATAGGGAACAACGAACAAAGGTACAATAACTGAGTATTCAGATAAAATATCAAGTTAGTCTCTTTCCCGTAGATTATTTTTGCTCTAAAAATAAATATTACTATCAGAATGAGAGTTCAGTCTGAGAATCCCGAAAATGAGAGTGGGAGTCCTCTATTTATAATAGAGGAATTCAAGGTAATGATTACAAATCTGCAAGTGGGTAGGTGTCGTGCAAGTCTTTCCTTGCCTCTCATTGGCTAATAACTTGTGAAGTATCTTCAAATTATCTGAGGCTAGGACATGTGTGCGGTCCTCAGTCACTCATAGACAAAACCTGAATTTGCTAAGTTGGTGACAACCATATTTTTTCTGTCATGGAACAACGTGGTAGCTCCTGGGCGGTGCAAAATCTTCTTGAACTCTGATTGATGCTTGCTGGCGTTGCTGATTTTTTAGGCATAACAATGTTGAATGCATTGAAATATAAAATTTAAATATATAAACAGATTAGAAAAAAAAAATACTTTTGATACTATATTAATTATATGTGAGTGTGGCTTAATTAAAGAAGCTTATACATAAAATTTTGGTTTGCCGAAGAGATCAGAGAGAGGTGTTAGTCTTACTGCCACGCTTGAAATGGCGAGGCACCCTTCTGCCACAACCTTTGAGGAGCTTTATGACTCGATTAATATCGGTGAGTGCAGCCAATTTAGCCGTAACAACTAGACACACACTCAAAGTGGCTAACCCTCACCCTTTTACAACATGCTGGAGATGCCGGCTGCCCGAACACGATTGGCCACCCCCAACCGTCTCTCCTCTATGCACTCACTCGGGCTCCGCCCACCTCCATGCACTAATATTTTCTCTTCACTCAACATTAACGAGATTACAAGAAAAAGTATCAACAACAATGGAGAATTTCCTTTCATTTCTATGTTCTTTTAATTCCTTCACTAATCTGCACAATATTTTTACTTATATGAATGCAAAGGAAACGGGATTTTTAGTCTTATACTCAAAAAAGGTAAGTAAGGCGCACCAATTGAGTGGAAAATGCTGTGTACTACACTCGGTTAAGCCTTTGGATTGAAAGATAAGCATCATTACATTGGAATGTAGATAATTAACTTTCTTGGTTTACTAGCAACAGTTGAGTTCTTAGAGAGATTGGGCATCAGAACGGACGACCCAAAAGAGTTTGTTATAATTCTATGTGTAATTCACCCAAAAATCCTAATTGATCACTTGATCATCCAATAGTAGTTAGTTAATTAATGTTGTTAAAATGTTTTTGGTAAAATATTTTTGGAAATTTTACATCGTTTTTACGTACCTACAGATTTTTCTAAGCAAAAGAAGAGAGTATTTCAATGTAAAACGATTTCTCGTTACACAAGAACCCTTTTCAGCATATGGTACGTGCACCTAAAATTGGTTCAGTACTAATATTGTAGGGCAACACTATCCAATATACTGTATAATTTTGCCAATACATTATTAAAACTAGTGATTGAAAACACTATAAGCTTCAAGTACAAATCCTTTTCCATCTGATTTGTAGTCAGGGAAGATAATCACCACTGACATCGACCTCAGATTCTATGTCACCCTCCAAATCATCATGGTCCTCAGCCCCTACACTAGCTTGTGCGCCGACTTTGGCTCCTGCACCTGGCGTCTTTGCTTCTTGTATGATACGCATTATTTCTTCAACACTCTGAGATGGTTGGTCATGTAATGCTTCCCTAAAGTTTGTTTTCTCAATTTCAATTAGCTCTTTCGGCAAATTTTTTAGAAACCATGGGTGCTGCTTGATCTCTGGGATAGTAACCCTCTGTTAGGAGGAAAAGACAGGATCAGTATACAGATGATTAAAGAATCACTCATATAAACATGTGAGATCAGATAAATAAATAAATTTAAAGAAAAAAACAAAGAGAAGATATAAAAAAAGTTTAGGATCACTCAAAATTCCATTTTCATGGCAGAGAGAATGTTTAGAGAACAAAATGCCACAAAAAAAGAAAGTGTTTACCTTTGAAGGATCAGAAACAAAAATCCGAGAAAGAAGATGCCTACAGTCTGCAGACACACGTACATAGTCGGGTATGGAGTACTGAACACTCTTTATTCTCTGTTAAGATAAATAAAAGATAGAACTTCATTATATACAATATATATACTAGAGAAAGAAGAATCTTCAAAACATAGAACTATTGGGTAGAAGAGACGCACATCAATGGTCTTACGGAAATTTCTAGGATCTTCTGGATCCTCAAAAGGATAGGCACCCACCAACATCACATAAAGCGTCACACCACAGGACCAAACATCTGAAATCTACAAGCCACAAACAATAATCACCAAGAAAATTAATATGACCTCACTGTTATTACTATAATAGAGATGTTATATCCACATCAGAAAAAAAATGCTAGTTAAATTTGAAGAACCAAATGCAAACACAAAGGTAAGTCGATATTAGATTAGAGAAAACTTTAACTATTAGTATGAGTGCCGAAGTTAACATAGCTCAGCACTACTTGATAAAATGACTAATGGATACGAAGCATTAACACAGAAGCTAAACTTTTTTAAGCACCATAAGAATCACAATATTACACAACATAGACACACAGATAGGCATGACTTGAAATAAAGAGCTCAATAAGCCAGTAAAGCTAGATGTGGGGAGAAGTTTTCCAGCAGGAATAAACTTTCTTCTAGCATCATTATGTCATTGCCCTGGTACCAAATATCTCATGGATCACTAAATTCTTGCACCCTTAGTAAGAAGCTTTATGTATAATATATATGCTTTTGCATTCGAATTCATTAGGAACTCTTGAATAAGAGCATCCACAGAAACAAGAGACTAATGTGACAAGCATGTAGTTTCTCAGGTTTGCCAGTGGCCATGTGGTCTTGTGGCATAGGCCTCCACACATTTGTGGATTGTCTAGAGTCCTATATTTCGAATCCAGGCAAAATGGAGGAGTTTAAAACTGCGGGTTCATATTATCATTTGAGCGCTCCTATCATTTATTGATCCACATGATGTCTCCATATTTCCATCACCAATTCTAACCAAGTGTTTACTGGAACACACAAAATCAGATGAAAAATAAAAACTCAATACCTTCCCATCATATTCCTTTCGTGAGAGGACCTCTGGGGCAATATATGCTGGAGTTCCAACAGTTGATTTAGGCTGTGAGTGCAACAATCCTGACTGCAGGATGTAAAGCAAAAACAATAATGAAAGTTAAAACTAAGGACTATAATGTAAGATATAATTTATGACTCACTATGTCTTAGTACTGAGTTTTTTTCTTTCATGGAAAAAAAAAGGTAGAAATTTGTAAGAAAGCAGCAGAGTTATGAGCCATTTATCAAGTCAACAAAGCTGCTATTCAACTAAAAACATAAACCTTAGAGTAACCAAAGTCGCATATTTTAACACGTGGTGTTGGACTTCCATCCAATAGTGTGTTTTCCAACTTCAGATCCCTGTGACAAATTTCCTGCAGTAAAAGAAATATGTATATAAGGTAGAGATCATAACATAAGATTTAAAATTAAACTTAGATATCATACCATGGCATGACAGTAGCTGACGCCAGATATTAGCTGTTGGAAGAAAAACCTTGCCTGTCGTGAAAAGGGTTTTGCCAACAAACAAATCATTAAGATAATCAATTTGTATCACAACAATACACATTAAACAAGAGATAAGTGACCTAAGATGTAATTTAAAGAAGCAAGCTCCATAATACAACCTCATCTTCACTAAACCGACCAGCACTGCATATTCTGGCAAAGAGTTCGCCACCAGCCGCATATTCCATGACAATAGCTAAATGAGTAGGAGTCAACAAGACCTGCAGGTAAAACACTAACAGTGATTTCTACCTGTGTTTATGCAATTCAAAATCCCTTATCTAAACTCCATCTATGAGTATAAATATTCAATCACCATCCAACATAATCTCTCTCTATAGATATTAGTTGAGAGGTAGATAATCTATACATATATATTAAAGAATATATATGTAAAATACAAGACACTAAATCCTGTAAAAAAAATCACAGGTTTCATAAACTTTAAGCCATCATTGTATTGGTTTTTCAATTGACAAGGTTCAAGGAAAGAAAGGTGCTATTTATACAGTAGTTGTGTATCTTGAACCAAAAAGCAAATTAAATAAGGCAAGTTTTCTTAGTTTTACATTTTCAAGTTTAACTATTGAAACATTGTTTCCCAAACTACCATATAACTCAAGTTCCATGTATGGCTATCGTGTTCCTGGTTCACATTGTTCTGGAACATAACTGGTAACAACTTTGGAGCAAACATGAAAATGAGACAGATTAATGTGGTCATCACGATAAGTTATTATTGTCCCATCCAACCCATTAATTTTTTGGTCACAGTAAAAGAAACAAATAAGGATGGAATGAAAACAGATACAGAAATTTTTTTATAATGTTTAATTATTTAAATCAATACAAAACATTGAGTTAAATTTTATGAAATCTAGACTCCCAATGTGTTTAAATTGTCCCCTAAATATCTACAAACTTCAACAGTTCTCTCAAATTAAACAAAGTCCAGTCTTACCTCTTTGAAACGGATAATGTTTGGATGCCTCAAAGATCTGTGGTTGATGATCTCCCTCTGAACATTCTCATCAATCTGCAACCAGAAACAAAATTCTTATTACTTGTAAAGTAACCCTATTTCAACTACTGAAAAGAAAACATTTCCTCTTCCATTTAAACCAATATAATAATCATAATGTGTGGACCTAACTTGTGAAGTAAACTCATTAAGTGAACGAATCTTCATAGACAAAATCCTCATATCATTAAGAATTTCAGAAAATAACAAATGTATTCTTATAATAAAATTGTCCTCCTCCAAAACAGAACATTTCATCCAACCACAGAAGACTTTGAAATTCATCTTCTAGTAATTGGTCGGTAATAACAGATATGAAGGGGAAAAAATGAAAGACTCAAGAGAATGGTTTGAAGCAGAGCTACGTAGCCCATTTCCGGAAATCGGCAATACAGAAAATCTTCAAATATAATAAAGAACATATTGATCATCAGTGTGGCACTACCACATACAGGATTGTATACAAGAATCTGATAGGTTAAAAGATGATTACCTTCTTCCCTCTTTCTATGTATTTGACTGCAACAAGTTCCTTAGTCTTCTTATCTCTGACCAACCTGGCCACCCCAAAATTTCCAGAGCCTAGCTCCTTTAATGGCTCATATCTCTCTTCCATCGCAATCTACTAACACAAGTAAAGAAGACTACAAATCCAATACCAAAATAACCCAAATGGATTATCTCAATATAAAGATTGAAAACAAGCAGAGAAGCGGAGAGAAAGGGTGTGTGGAAGCAAGAAGAGTGAAGACCAGTTCCCAACAACCGACTCTTTAATAAAAACAAAGTCTTACGAAATATTTATAATTAAAATAGGAGCAAATAGTAGTATATAAATATGTAGAACTAGAGGGTAGGGTCATTGGCTGATCAGAATAAATGAATGAATAAGGAAGACAAACAAACAGTCCATGTCAGAGTGTAGGAAATAGATAGAATGAAGGAAGCAAAACAGAAGAGAATTGGAGGAAAGGTGTGAATGAAGCACAAGTAGTCAAGTAGTCAATAGTTTTATTACATTACATACCCCCTAAAACATAAAATACTAAATTTTGCACCAATCAACTCCGGAACTACCCACTTACACCCTTTATCACCACTTTTTGCGGTTAAAAGTCTCTGATTGACCACTACATACAATTACATGAATTCCCATAGATATTTTTAAGATTTGATCATTTTACCGCTATAGTTTCATTAATGTGTTCTTTGAAAATAACAGAATAATGTGTAAAAATTAAAGCAATTTATTAAAAATTATTACTTGTATTTTTTAATGTTTTATTTTTATAAACTAAAAACTAATTTTTAAATACATTTTTCTGTAAATCAAAAAATACAGAATCTAAAATCAAAATTATTTTTGTAAATTAAAAATATAAGACCTGAAAAAAATGAAAATACAGTTTTTAAAACTTTTTTTGTAAATTGAAAAATCAAAATAATAAAAAGTATTTAGCAATTTTTTAAAATATGTTTTGATAGAATTTGAGATGGATCTGACTCTTCACCCAATAAAGCCTTGTTGAATAGGATGATTACTCTCTCTTATAAACCAGAAGGCTTTAGCGTGTCTAGTCGATGTGGGATTTCAATACTCCTTCTCACGGTCAAACTCATATGTTGGGTCATACCTGCTTAATAAGTTAATAGAGGTAGTTGCTGACTCTAACTTTTCATCTATTAGTCAAATACTCAGCTTAACTCAGCCTATTCATAATTATGTATTTTAACATTAAAGGTCTATTTAGCCCTTCTCTTAATTAACTCTTAACACCAAAAATTGACAACAGGGGTGTAAGCGGATAGTTAATAATTTATTGTTTGAGGGGGTGTAAAAATAATCCCTTTGAGTAAAGAAGGTAAAATTTAAAAAGTGTAGGCGTGGTGGTAAGGTATATCTCGTATGACGTAAAGACTGAAGAGTCGGTTCCAAGTAAGACACATGGATACTGACAAAATTATGCGCTGACAGCGTGGCAATCTTTAATATTATACTTATTTAAACTCTAACATTTATAAAATAGAAGCCACCTCTCACACTTGTCGCCCCTGGGTCCCCCATTCAATGACTTTGTGCTCACTTCATTTTTGTCGTTTCCACTCTCTGCAAGCATTTCCCTGAAGCTGCAATGCACGCGCCCCGTTACCGTTTAAGAAACAAAAAATATTATTCACATTCTCTTCCGAATTTATTGATCGTATTATTAATCTGAAGCACATGGACATTGGACGGTCCAGATGGATGGCCCGATTTTACCCACATACTCAACTTAGTATCACGATACTTACTTAATTTAAGATTAAATATTGGGATATTTTTTGGTCCAAAATCAGATTATATGGATAAGGCAATAGATAATGTTTCCAAGTGTTACTTAAGGTGAAATTTTGGACCCACATTGAAAATATTGGCTTTTCATTTTAAATAATTTAGAACCTTCTAAATGATATAATTAGATTCATTTAAAATGACATAATAGAATTAGAGTAATCCTACACTTATAAACAATAGACAAGAGAATTGCCAAAAACTCATTCTAAAAGGGTCAAAACCTTAGTTAAACTTAATAATATAATTATAAATAAACTTATAATAAATAATATAATAGGTATAAGTTATACAAAAATATGAATATTTATTTATAATGCTCTTTATAGTTAATATATTTATGATTGTGTTTAACAATATGAAATAAATTTATAATACTTTAATGGGTGTAAAAAAAACCAAATTTTTTTACTAATGAACAAGTTATTAAGCCAATACAAATAACAACATCTCCAAATTAAACTATAATAAAATTTTTACTAATAAAATATTCTAAGATTTATCTAGCTTTTATAATAAAATATTATGGCTTCGTTTGGTTGCATTTTGGGAATACTATTTAGTATTCCCAAGAAAGTTAAACAGTAAAATACCCAAAAACCAGAGTTTTTGAGAATACTACTCTCAATATTATTCAACTTTTTTAAATCCCTTAAATTTGTTAATTTAATTAAATACCCTTAAATATTTTTTAAAAAATTGCAAAAACACCCCAGTAATCCACATTTACCAGATTCCGGTCAACATTGTTGGAAAATGGCCGAAATCTGGTAGGATGACGCACTACCGACTGAATCTGGCCGGTAGTGCGCTGCTTTAGCCTTTTCTGGCCAGATCTTTGGCCGTAACAGTCGTCAATGACGACCGTTTGTTGGCCGTCGTTGACGAGCAAATATGGCTAGATCTGGTCTTTGCCGGCCAAATCCACCGTGGATCTGGCCGGAAAAGGCCATATTGGCACACGACCCGCAAGATCCAACCGGTCATGCGCCGATACGGCGACTCTGGCCACCCTCTGGCGGTTGTGGCCGGCTGTCCGTATTTTAGGGTGGGTTGGGGGTGTTTTTGTTAGCTTTTAATGTTTTATTATATGAGGTGTTTTGCAAATAAACAAACATAGGGGTATTTTATTAATTTGTAAATCTTACATCGTAATACCCGCCCATTCAATTTTTTTTAACTTTTTTTAAAAAACTTTTCCCAAAAACACAAAATTGTGAACCAAACGGAGTCTATAACTTTGGTTGAAATTTCATTTTTATGTTTGAAGCCCTTAAAATAATGCATCAAAATACATATTTTTTATATTTATCATTTTTTTTTCCTAACTTCAATATTTGATATGACTCATCTGTGAGTAGTCTAGAGGGTTATAATGAATTAGAGATAATGTGCATAGACACACGATCTCAAGTTTGTTCTTCATTTGAATATTTGTAATTTAAGTGGGAGGCCGTGACGATGGATTGTAAGCTAGCCCTACAATTGATAGTAATTTAATTTGACCAACAAATTTTAGAAATGATATTTATTTTATAATATTTTATAAAATATATGAAAATATATACAAACTTTCTTCATTTTTTTCTTTGTACAATAAAATAAAATAAAATAATATATATATATATAATTCATTATATAATATACTAACTGTATTTGTGGGATTTTTTTTTTTTTTTTTTTGTAGAATCTAAGAATTTAATTTGATATATTTGATGAATTTAAAAATTAATATATATATATATATATATTTGAATTTTGATAATTTTTCAAAGTCAAGGAGGGTCCTTGAGCCTCCTCCCTCTGTCCTATTTACAAAGATCTGTACACAAAGTGATGTGATAAAAAATAAACGAAAAATTAAATATAATGAGTTTGACTTTTTGTTTCATTATTTCATTTTGTATAGAAATCTTTGTAATATTTATTTATAAGTATAATATTATTGATGGAATTAATAGTTTATCTCCACTGTTCGAATATTTTAGATTAAAATAAGAATAAAAAATTAATTATATTATTATTTTGATTTACATGAGTAAATGTTTTGTTTATTTAATTCTTTGTTATGCCAAAAAAGGAGTTTCCATTTATACAAGAAGAATATTAGATTAGAAAGATGTTGAAGTAGACTAGAAAAGTGAAGAAAACTAAGTGGACTTTAGGTGGGATCAGAATCTATTACATGTGACTTGAGAGGTTCAAGCTTTTCTATAGCAAACATGACGGCTTCACATTGCCTTCAATCACTGACAAAAGTTGTTGCAGCTATTTCCGCAGTTGTTGTAACCCAAAGTCACTAATTTTGGTCATGTTTCTCACCCACTGCCTTTCGTTGTTTGATATTGGATAAATTATGCGTTCTCCTCCCATGCCCATACTTGTATTATTCTTTATATATATATATATATATATTGGATAAATTCATATTTCTTTTCCTAAGGCATAATTTAAGACAAACCCCATAGGTATCACATAATATAAAACCACCTATCATCACTTTCCATCAAGTGCTAAAATGACCATTTTACCCCTAAAAACCCTAGCTCATTTCCTTCCTATTGCTAGAGCTTTGGTTTCTGGCCTCGTAACAACCACTTTAGGTTGGTAAATAAGTTCAATTAATTATTTGGATAGTATACCTTTATTTATCTTCATTTCCAAAGAATAATAAAACATATTATATCAAATAGGTAATTTTTTATGTACACTTGAAATATTTTTAGCACTTTCAAAAAAAATTATGGTTTCGCCCCTAACTAAAACCATAATAGGAGCAGACATTACTTCTCTCAAAGTTACGAGACTATGAGCTCCCAAGAGAGTTGTCTCATGCCCTTAGGTATTCTCTATCTACCCACCTGTCTTGATAGGGTACATGTACCTTTTTGCTGAGAATCGTTCAAACTTTTATAAGGAGTATACATAGGTTATTTCAATGTCATAGCACCACCTAGTACTCAAACATTGGCTTGAGACATTTTTTTCTATCCTTTCTTACCGTGAAAAGGCAAGGGCACCGTGCGTCCTTAAACCGATAACCATCTTTCTATTAACCTAACCTCTTTCGTCCCTCAAGATTAACAAAGGTTTGTACAAAAATAGTCACATGTTATCTATCGATTACGCCTTTCAACTTAATCTTAGGCCCCGACTCACCCTTTATGGATAAACCTTACAAAGGAACCACCAGGTTTTCGGGGCATTAGATTCTTTCCAATGTTTGCATTACTCAAGCTAATATTCTCGTTTCTACGTCGTCCACCACCGCTCTCACATGTGTTTTCCCTCTAAGGTGGATTATTAGAATTTGTATAGAAGTATACTAAGCATATCTGAGTGAGTATATGTACCAAGTGCAAGGAACGTAGAACTAAATAAACAAACTTATTCATCTTTATACATGAATATGTGTATGCATTTCACATTTTTTATTATTCTATTCTTGTTTTATTTTCTATCGTTCTTACATTATTATTTTTTCTTCTCTAGAATGTCTTCTAATTTTTGAAGCTTGTAAGCATCGTGGAATTATCAAATAAAAATTTTATTTATTCTAAACATCACTTAAACTTTATAGAATTGTTGTGTGTGGTTTTTCCGCCAAGCTTGGGCTAACGCGAGGATATAGCTC